TAGCTAACCTTAGCTGTATGGTTTGTAGTATTTTACTGTGGAAATTCCAACATACTTAATCTTTCCCATTTGTTCTAATTGTAACAACTTAGTTCAAAAGGTCTTCAAATGACGAGAATTAAATACTCTTCCCAAATACGAAATTTTTGAAATCCAGAAAGCTCACAATGAAGTATATCTCGTGGTATCAAAATTTCCTTTGTCAGACCAATTAATAAACTTTCTTTGAGATACTCAACTTGAGAATCATTGACCTAGTCTGTCGTCAAGTTCATTCCGTTTACCAATCATCGCAGTTGTAATATGGCAATATACTGAGATTTGGCCTGATCAAATGAACGGCTGCTTATGATATTGAGATAACAACAGCTTTTCATAATATGTGGTGAGCGATCATAAAATGTGATTTATTTATTTTCAAAATTAGTCTCAAATGGCCTCAAAAAATCAATCACAACCATCTTCGAATGGGCCCAATTGATGTTTACCGATTAATTATTAGCATTTTAACTATTTAGCGCCTGAAATATCTGGAAAGTAATCGGGGGAGATGAAAAAACGAAAACATTGCGCTTCCTTTTGTAAGTAACTTTCAAAGATTCTTGTTAACAATAACGTAGTGTATCGAGGACAACATAAAAGCAAACGGAATAAGTCATTGAAAGTTCCAATTGCACCGACTGAAATGTAATTGCTAGGATATGCAAATGGGAAGTCAGTCAATGCAAAGAAATTTTAAAATGCAGTCCATTCCACATTTAGCAAGAAAACAAAACATTTATTTAGCTATTTATTTATTTCAAATGACAGGTGTTTCGATAGCCAGCATTAGCCCTTTAGCTGACCTCGGGCTTCACAGAGGGAAAGAGCGTCAAATGAGAAAAATTTGAGGCGGAACAAAAGACTGATTCACAAATATAAAAGAGACAGGCAGACAGACACAAAGGCAGATAAAAGGAAGTCGTGGAACATGGCATGCAGTGGGTCATGGTAGTTTGAAATAAGTAGTCAACTGCCGGTTTATAGACTTTTTTAACTAATGAGTATACTTTGCCCAGGCTGCACCAAGTGGAGGTATGTTTATCACACACCCCGGAAACAAAACATAGTCTGGCTAATTAGCAGGTAAGTGATTCGCTTTATCTGCAACTCATATTTAATTTGACGAGAACAAGACATGCGCACGTGGTTGTCAAGGTCACTGTTCAGATTCTGCCTATAATCACCCCTCCCCCCAAATAATGATAATATCAACATGGTGGCAGATCTGAGAGAATCGGGCTATGATGGATGTTTCTTTTTCATTCAATCCCACTTTGTAAATGCCTATAGAGCTTTTAGTACCTTTCATTAATACTTCTCAATTTTTTCTGACTTTCTTTAGTCTAGTCAGATCATTTGATACAACAATTTCATGTGAATGATTTGGTCAGGCAATGGGTTTTAAATGACGTCAATTGGCGTCGACGCGTGCCGAACAGTGAACTAAAATTGTCAATCAATACGCAGAAAATTTTACGTGATAGGTGGGTCTCAAGGAAATCAATTGATTAATAAAGTTGGTTGCTTTGATCGATATTGGTGCTTTGAATAATACCTGGGATTTAACAGTTACTCATATTATACCATAAACAGAAGCTGAGCTATGATTTTCAATAGAAAAGTATCACATGTAGTCATACTACTATTTATGCAGGATTTAACACTAAGGCATAATCAGTGCCTTGGTTGTTTATTTATATTCAATTCAGGGGTGTGCGATAGACTAACCTTCACGTGGTGCACCATGGGCAACGTATACTCAGGGCAAAAAAGTCTATTAACTGGCAGTTGACTTCTCACTTCAAATTACCATCACCCCACTGTATGTCATATTCGACCCCTTCCACAGTACTTATCTTACTAATTCTCTGCCTTTATATCTGTGAATCATTATTCTGTCCCCCTCTGTGAAGACCGAAGTCAGCTAAAGAGCCAATAGTAACTATCAAAACGCCTGCCATTTGAAATTAATAAATACATATTAGTAGTACATTAATTTTGCGACATCAACGTCTCAAATTTGCTTGCGATTTCTGCAGATTATTAATGACCTTTAAGAGGCCTACCGTACACCTTGTCTACGAAGCCACTATATTGCACATATAAGCTGATAAAAGCATCTGACCTCAAATTGACATATTCATCTCTTTAGAAATAAATGTTCCGATGTGATGCGTCACATCAAACAGACCTGAAGGATTCACTTCAATTTAGAGTTCGGAATGCTCCTCAACCCTTATGATTAACAATTTATACCAGAACAGCTTCAAAATACTATTATTCGTAATAATCTGCATCTTACCCCCGTAAGCCATAAAGGTACATTACCAACATTCCCAATATAATGACGTTCATAGTGTAGCAAACATTGGAAAATTGGTTATAGCGAAAACCGAGTTTCCTACTCGAGAAATTCCACGGAACTTTAAATGTGAAAATTATCAGCACACAAAAAAATATTCAAATGTTTCATAAAGCACACTTTTATGACAATGGGAGATTCACAAACAGGTTTGTGTGCATGAGATTAGGAAAGAAGAGCATTGTCGATAAGAAGATGAGGAAAAGGATGACCGTCGATGAAGACCCGTCACCATTGATAGAGGGCTTAATGGTAACAAAAAGATAGTAAATACACAGGGATTAATCTCATACACACAAACATAGGGACAGTGAAGGCGAGAAGAGGTAGTAGATATGAAGAGAAAGGCCAGTGAAGCATGAAAAGTGAAAAAGATTGAATCGAGAAAAATGGAAAAAGTGAAGCGAAGACGAAAAATGAGAAAGTTAAGTAGTGAAGAAACTCTTGGGTTTAAGGTCGTGAAGCAGCCGCTTCTGTTGAAGAACCAGCGGCCGAAACCGCAGGTCTTGGTGGTTGGTTTTCCTGACAACGCATTACTTCTGGCATTTCAGGAGGTTTCGAGTACGGTGTTATATCAACTTGTTCAAAATGGCCATTTGCTAAATGAAAAAGGGCATTGCAATCGATAATAATATATGTACTACATTTTAAAGAAGCAGGACTGAAATGCCTTTCGAGCTTACCATCACGATAACAAAGACCAATAACAGCAGGATTATGCGCGCGAGCGGACAGATCATTGATTCCATAGAAAGCGAGGGTTTTTTGATCCATCATTGAGGTTGATTGGTACAAAAGGTTTTGATCCTCAGGAGCGACTTTCAGAATACCCTGAAGCTGCTTTTTCACTTCTAGAACCGTATCTGTTTCCTCAACGGTAAGGTAAATGGTAGACTTTTTACGACGTATTGCAAGAAATGCCTTCTAAAAATGAAAAACAGAATGAGATACTCGTGGGACACAAAAGGTAGTGAAAAAATAAAATTTAGATCATTACAGTAAAAAACATCCCAATTCGATGGAGTTACCACATTGGGTCAAAAATCAATGAGGCTACTAAAGACTACTTACCATCTTCTAAGATGTATTCAAAAGAGCCCAACAGTTCAGATTGTTCGGATGGGTAATTTAAACTCGTGCTATCTGTTGCATTTCAAAAATATACTTTGAGATGCATTCTATTTGACTGTAGTATTTTTCAAATATATTTTATGAATTTATAAATTTTAATGAATAATTATGAAAGTGGGTTATTCTGATGCTATTTTCAAAATACACGTTTAAATAATAAATAATGGCCAATAAATAATCAAATAAATGTGAAGTTGCGTAATTGATTGATTTTATCCAATATAAATTTTAACTTTAATTCTTTTTAAAAAGCAGAA